CTCGATTTTTGAACATCTGGGGTTGGTGATACTGAATCTGATGCCTCTTCCTAGCACTAAACTTCACTCTAAAGACAAAAGACCAAAAGGCTTTTCATGGAGTGGGCTCTGGGCACAGCCTCACTCAGTAGTAGGACCAGAACTGGATCCCTGTACCCACTAGGAATGGCATCTGGGGTCTGTCGTGTTTTAGGGATTCCCAGGGCTAGCACCAATCTGTCTTGGGTTGTCCTGCCTGCATTCACCACCTTGCCCAGTAAAATTTAACTCTGAGATGGGAGCCAGAGTTCATGTAATATAGAAAAGTCCTTCTCACCCCTCTACCCACTCTTCTTACCCGGGTCCCGGTTGCTCTGCCGATGTTCCCACAGGGGCGTTGGTGTGACATACCTGGATCCCAGGAACAGACAGATTTCTCATTTCCACTTCACTCGCACACATGCTTTGGCATCAGTAGGTTGATAATTAATATGTATTATCTGTATGACAAGAGCATGCAGGGGCTGCAGTCAGGACCCACCCACCTGGCTCGGTGCTGTGTGGACAGTGTTCTGTGCTACCCATAGCGGAGACAAGACCTGCTGTGCGCCGATGGGTGGCACGAGCCAGACGGATCTCTAGAGAGTCTCTTGCCACATACCTAAGAACAGGTATCCCGGTCACACAGGTGATACCAGACTGGCCGGCTAGGGCTACACACACACACACACACACACACACACACACACACACACACCTCGCTTCACGTATCCTTCCCCTCGTTTGCTGCCCGCAGTCCTAGGTGAGGTCAATCCCAGGTGGGCGTTGTCTCTGCATGGAGGAAAATCGTTCCTCAATCAAAATTACTCTGATAAGGTGAAAATCTCCCAGTTCTCACAGCTGTCTCCTGCAGAGGCCATGTCCTGCAAATGCCAAAAGCTCCACTCAACACTGGACCGTGCATCCAAGTCTGACCCACCCGTAGGCATGTTAGGAAGTTCTAACTCTCTAGGTATGGGAGCGTCTCAAACACACCCTGACAACACACACACCGACACTGGGGGATGGCATCACCATTGTACAAATGGGGAACTGCGGCCCAGGGAAATTAAGTGACTTGCCCAAGAACACAGTCTTTGGTGGAGCCAGGAATTAAAGCTGGGTCTCTGGAGTCCCAGACCAGTGCCTTAGTCATGAAGGCTCCTCTAGCTATTAGATGTTCCTCGTTGAGGATTGTCTTTGGATGTCCAGAGGCTTTCTGGGCCATTCCATCATGTCCCAGGCGGGCATCGGTTTTTGTAAGGTAAAGACGGAAGAGACTGATTAAGTCATCCCTTCCCTTCAGCCAGCTGGAATAGACTGTCTCCAAATAGAGGATGCCTCAGGTTTTAAAACAGATACTAGCCTGGGTTTTAGCCAGAAAGGCCATGAAAGAACAGCAATCAGAAATAAACAAGAATCCAAATGCAGAATAAGAGGTGGTTAGGGGGAATGTGAGCTGGGAACTCAGGAATGGCTAGGAAACTAGTTTGTGTAACCTTGGAGACAGTGAGAAAATGAGCCCAAAGTGGAAGGAGGGGGGCATGCCGCAGAAGGAACAGACATGGCAGCGAGGAACAGCACCGGAGACAATGAGGAAAATTAATTGCGGCACAGCATAGAACAGAACCCCCTTTCCTGAAAGGAGAGCTGAACCAAGGGCTCTGAAATGGGACCTAAAGAGGTTTTAAAGGGCCAAAAAATGATTCTGCAGAGCACCAATTTAGTCAAGAGAGAAGAGAAGGGTTAGGGAGATGAGATAGGGGAAGAAAAAAGAGCCAAGTGAGGAGAATAAAGAGAGAGAACAAGAGAAAAGACATTGATGCAGGAGAGAAGAAAAAAGATCAGATATGAAATACAAGAGAGCGAGGATAAAAGCAGTAAAGAGGCTGTATTGGCAACTCCAGCTGCCATGACACAGGGAAAATTGTCTGTCTTGTTAAGCACTATATCTATATTGATAAATCTTAAATATTATCTCAGACAATTTCTCCAGAACAAGCAATTTCTACTATTGCTTCAGAAGTTGGGGTTATTTTTCCTCTTTATAGCTTCACATCTATCCCATCCCGCTCACTTTTTTATTCCTTCTGCTTTGCACAAATCTCTTTGTATTTCCTTTCAGCCTTTTCTACCTGCCGTTTGTCTTTTGGATTCCTGTAAGATTTGGACTCACGTTGGGTTTTTATTGTATCTGAACCTGCTCATTCCGGCATGTAGACACCACATTGACGCCTGCGAAAGAAAGATTCCAACCCCTGATAGAAAGTGCTTCAATTCAAATCCACTTCCCATCCACACATTCCTTTCACATCCACCCAGCAAAGAAGGGGGAGAGGCTTTGATCTCACTTGGAAGTAAGGAGGAGGGGTTAGAGCTCTGAAGCCATTGATAAGTATCACCCTAAAGTTCGTGTTTCCCCACAATTGGTCACATGGGTTGTTTGAACCTCGGAGAGCTTTCAATGCGACAGCAGCTGGACAAGTATTTCACCGGCTGGAGATCTAGGGTGACCAGATGTCCCGATATTTGGGGGTTTGTCTTATATAGGCACCTGTTACCCCCACCCCTTGTCCCGATTTTTCACACTTACTGGTCACCCTATGGAGATCCTCACAGCAGAAATATTCTAGATAGCCCCCGTTTTTTGGATCTTGCAACACAAGGGCCAAGCACTGAGTGTGCACTGGAAAATGAACTTACCCGCTGACTCTAGAACATTTGTCACGGAGGCGAGACCAGGAAGTGAGGGATATGAAGGGATGGTCTTGTGGTTAAAGCACTGCCCTGGGAACTCATCTATTTATAGGGCCAGAAGGGCCCATTATGATCATCTAGGCTGACTCCTGCACAACACGGGCTTCAGAACCTCACCCAGTAATTTCTGCATCAAGCTCAGAACTTATGTTTGAGCTATAGTATACCTGTTAAAAATACCTCCAGTCTTGATTTAGATGCCAAGGGATGGAGACTCGGCCAGGTCCCTAGTAAACTGTTTCAATGGATAACTTAGCATCACTGTTAAATGTGCACCTTATTTCTCATCTGAATTTTCTAGCTTCAGCTTCCAGGCACCGGACCCTGTTCTGCCTTTTCCGGCTACATTGAACAGCCCTCTACTATCAGAAATCACACCCCCACCTACATACTTGGAGACCTTGAAAATCACCGCTTTACTTTCTCTTGGATGAATTCATCCAGTCTCTCACTAGGACTGTGTCATCGTTAGGGGAAAAAAATGTGTGTTCTTAACTCAAGTTAACTAACTCGAGGTCAAATCCTAGAGAAGATAAAGGAGTGTGTAGCTAGCAGGTCGAGTTAAAAGACTACATGGGAGCCATGCTATAGTATTGCCCTGTCACTGTCCAGACATCCTGTTGTGGAGATGCAGGAAATGTTCACAGGAAATGTGCAAAATGAATTGAAATTCAAGTTTTTTCACATTTTGTTACAAACTCAACAACAGACCCATTTGTGTGGAGATTCAGCTGAGCTCCCTCCAGTTTTCAAACAAAATCACACCGGGTTCTGAATGAGGACAGAGCTAGCTCTTCGGAGTGACGGTTGTTTTCAAAACAGAGGGCAAGTCAGCGGCTGCAAGTTTGAGTTTTAAAAACATAACCAATTTTCTTTTTCAGAAAAAGCAAATAAAGCAAAATGGGGGTTGAAGGAGGTTGAAAAATGGCAGAAATATTTCTGCGAACACCCACAAACCAAACCTTGCTAGTTTCACACAGCTAGTGTGAATAGAGACTTATGTTTCATCTGGCACCTTGGTCACTTGAGGAAAAGATACTAAGAAATAAGATAAAAAAACACCCATGATAGGGGTGTAGACAAGCCTGGGGTAAGAGCTGTGGTTTGGATTTGCAGTGTGTGAAAATCTGCCAACCCTGCCTGTTCCAGCTAGCCTTTCCAACCCAGCTGGTTCCCTGCACGCGAGGAAAAGGGGGTGAAAAAACCTGACACCTCCTCGAAGGACATCAGCACCAAGACATCAATTTAAGGCGTTTATAGTGTGGTTTAGAAGGAAAGAGCAGATGTGGGTCCAACAACCTCTGACAAACAGGCCTCTTTCATCCCTATAAAACATCTCCTCCATCTTTCTGTAGCTGCTCAAAGGAAAGGGCTTTTCCCTTGCTCAGGAGCCGGGGTAAAAGGTCTCACTCTGCAGGCCCAGCTATTCAGTGCTGGGAGTACATTATCCTCACGGGGGCCTGCAAGAGGAGAGGTTTCCCAGGATCTGTCCCCCCTGGTAATGTTACAGTAGTGAGCACTTTGCCTCCCTCTAGCGCTTTTCATTTCAAGATCTCAACGCGCTTTGCAAACACTTGTTAATTAAGCCTCATGCAGAGCATAGATGTTATTACGGCGTTTTATACAGAATGAAATTGAGTCAGAGGGGAAGCAACTTCCTACAGTCACATGCTGAGTCGTGGGAAGCACCAGGAAATGGAACCCAGGTGTCCCGATTCCCAGTCACTTGTTCTCTTTGCTACACCATGGTTCCATGCAGCCTTCACCGTGCTTGGTTAGAAAGATGGCTGGACAGCTCCCTTTGATCGCCACACAAAGCCCTGATGCCTCCCGTTCATCCCCACCACGCTATGCTTTGCCAGGGACAACTAGGTTAATGTAAGGCACCAAAACAGCCCACAATTAGCTCCTGATCTTAATTACACACATTACTGATGAGCTCATCAACTTAATCTAATTAGTCTGCAAAGCTCAATTGCCTGTCCCTTTTTCTTAAATAATGTGCTGTGTAAGCCTGTTATCCCTTTCGATAAAACCTGTTCCCTTGCAGCCATTTGTCAGGAAGGCTAACAAACGGACACCTGGCACCGGACAGCCACTGCAGAGCCAGACACACCCAGGGCCATGCTCGCCCCGCCAGCCCCCACCACACAAGCTCCCGGGGATGGCTGTGTGGGGGGGGGGTAGGGCACACACTCATTCCCAGCCCCTGGGGAACAGCCACCATGCTTGTTTCTCTAGTGCCTGTCATCCTGCAGAATCCCGAAGTGCATTCCAAAGTTGACCTGCCTATTAAAGGTACGTCCCTACTGGCCATCACTGTGGTCCTTGGGCGCTTCACGGGAGCATGGAGTCCCCAGCCAATTCCAGACAACAGTGGCTCATTCATCGGCGCCAGAATGACAGGGGCTGTGTTTATGAAGGGAAAGGCAACTCCAGAGTAACACTACAGGAGCGGCAGCAGATGAACTGCAAGGGGGCATTGGTCCACGACCAGTTCTCCTAGGCACTATGGAAACACAAATAGTGCCAAAGGCTTGTCCCTGCACTTTGCTGCACCTAGGGTTCCTTCCCAAGCAGCATTTTGCACCAGGCCCTAGCACTGCCCCAGGGTGCTCCCCTCTTCCCTGCCCTACATTCCTTAGTATTGGTTCTATCATGGTAGCACTTACAAGTTTCAGCTGAGGCCAAGGTGCCCCACTGTGCTAGGTACTGTACAGACACACAAAGATGGCCCATTTAAATAGACAAGACTGGCACAGGTGAGAGGAGAAACTGAGGCAGAGAGGGAGGGTGAAGTGACTGAACCAAGGTCACTCAGCGGGTCAGTGGCAGAGCTGGGAATTGAATCCACATCCCCGGACTCCCAGTTCAGTGCCCTACGCACTAGACCATGCCCTAGCACTGAAGGATTCAAGGTGGGATCTAATGAAGCGTGCACACACACGCACAGTCAGCAGGAACTAACCGGTCTCTCCCTGAAGGGCACTAACAGGGTGGAATTCTGCCCCTCCGGTGTATTAACAACCAGAGAAAACATCAAAATGTCCATCTTTGGACTGAGATGTTAGTGCAAGGTGCTGCACGATGCTCCTAACAGAGGGTTCCCAAGGGCTGTCCCTCACTTGCCCCATGTCATACAATGTAACACCAGATACGCTATATAAACAGTGCAAGTGTGGCCAGACAAGTGACCAGAATGCTTCGTGCAGAACGCTCTCCTGAGAGCCGTTCGCCATCCTTGCCCCATGTCTCTTCCTCTCTACACTCATTTACATGGTCTGTCTAAATTATGTCCTGAGCCTGCCAACCTCACTCAGGTGGGAAATCCCACTACCAAGCAAAGGGACTCCTCACAGGTCAAAGACTGGGCCAGCAAAGAGGCAGCGCCTCCATTGCTGTAAACTGTTGTTGCTCCACTGCTATCAATGGAGCTCTGCCAATTTACAGCAGCTGAAGATCGTTGGGGCAGGGACCCCATGTCATACACATCTGCCAAGCAGCACCTCTGGCCCTATATAAATAGCAGGACTGTGTAATGCTGGGATCAATTACTTTTTTCCTTCTGTATTGACATGTGACAAATTTGTTTCTAACGAGAGCACTGATGTCCATTAGTGATTTACCGTCTTTGTTTTAGGCTTGACTGCATTCTGCTGCTTTTCCTTCGATAAAAGCAATAATCCCAAATGAAAACTCTTGTGGCTGTTTAAAATGAAAGCCCCAGACAGCGCAGGTAGCTCTGTGATCTTTGTTCTGGTCGACCAGTCAGGAACCGCTTGGCACGCCAAGGAAAAAAAAAATCAGGCCCTGTTTAAACCAGTTCCCTTTCTTTCCTGGCATGGTTAAGTTTGAATGCATTCACTATCAAAGCGAAGTCCACAGATTGAAAACCTCTGGAGAGGTCTTTTGAGCCATACAATAGCAGAGTGGATCCTTTGAAAAAGGGGGCAGTGCTATCCAGCTGTGCCCGTTCCAGATGTGTGTTGTGGTGCGATTGCATGTGTGCTGAGGGAGACAAGTCTTTCTTCTCCCCTGAAGAACACTCCTGAGCTCAGCTAGTCTCTGCATACAAAGCCTCCAATTCCACTGGAGAGAGTCATACACACAACTCCCTCTTATGGAATGGGGGATTGGAACTGGGCCTTTTCTATTTTCCCCTTGCAGTTCCGCGTATTGTTCAGATAACAGCCAGCAGCCTGAATGAGAAGAACAAACTTATAAAAGAGAAATTGGTCCTTGTTATTTCTGCAGCGATTCCATTCTGCTTTTGAAAGTCGCTCGTCCTAACAATCACATGTGCGTAGCACAAGGAATACTAATGAAGTGAAAGTGTCTCACACACACAGCTTTCAACAGACCAAAGGTTGCTCTGCTAGGTAATGAGGCCTCTTTGCAGAGCAGGGCTGGGCTCCACATTGTGACCTGCCTTAGAAAAAGTAGCTTTTTCTTTAAAGTGATCTTTCAAGCCAGTAGACATCATACACATATCAAAACTGGCTCTGTTATTGTAGGTCCTACTATAAAAAAAGCTATGTACATGACTATAAGAGTGCCCTTCAGGCTACCACACACCAGGTTGCACCTTGACTGACAGGCAGTGATTTTGAATAACTTTAAAAAAATTAAACCTCTAAAAATTCCAGTTTCCCCTCTACCACCATCCTGCTGCCTTCTGCAGCCTGGCTCTTGTCCCCTAAATGAGGTGAAATGTATTCAGCTGGGTCAGGCCCATGTCCATGCCCCTATAAAATGTGGGATATAAAGAGGGTCCAAAAAAAAAAAAAATCTATTTAGCCCCATGAGCCACTGACCTGCTGCAGATGAAGAATCCTGGCTGAAAACGCTGCCCCTTCCCACTGGCTTTGCCTTCTGCTTCTGTCTCTATTAATTTTCAGGAACAAAGAGAAGCAGACACCTGTGGATCCAGCCGTGTTACCCTGCAGCAGGGTCACTGGGTTAAGAAGCTCCCTGAAAAGCAGATGTTGCATGGGTCATTGATTTCCTAGGGGTGAGCGTGTGCCATAACGCAAGCTGAACCAGCGCCTCTGGGTATGAGAGAACTGACCTCCTCCCAGCCCCGTGAGACAGAATATAATTCCGCCATATCTTGTGGGCTCCATTTCGCCGGCACCAATTCAGAACCTGTCTGCTCACCGCAACAGCTTCCCCACAGCGACGAGCACTCTGAGCGTGAAGGGGACCTCAGCAGAGGTGGTGCATCCCCGGGAGCATTCTCCTGGGATGTGTTAAAGCTTTCACAAGCCCTTATACCATTACCAGCACCCTGGCCTCCTCACCCCATGGGACTAGTATCTCTTGAGCATCGCTGTCTGGCTGACGGAGAACCGACCCTTCACAACCTGGTATTTGGCACAGCAACAGAAGTGTGCTGCGAGACATTGCATTAACCACGAGAGCTCTAGGATCAGACACCACAGCCTCACCTCTGACCCCGTCCCTGGCACAGAACTTCCTGCGCCAGCTAGTTCAGCGTGATCAGATGCATCTTCTCAAAGCTCAGCTCCTGGGTTGTAGCATTGGGTTGGCAGAGGAGGAATCCAGTATTCATTTACTCCTCTTGGTTTTTTTCTAAGGCACCCATCACTCCAGGATCTAGGAGGGAGTTTTGGCCATGATACGTATCTGACTAGCGTGCTACCGCAAATCAACGCTCTGTGCACTCATGCTATTCCCTAAGGGAGCCACCTGTGGAGAGCCTCAGGAGGCAGCCATGGCTTGTTATAGGTGCAATAGTGCCCCCAAAGTGTCCTCAAATACTGCTGCTGCTGCCACTGCCACCTCTTGACCCAGCCTTCAACCTCAGGCACAGCATCTGCATTTCCAGGAACCCGGCCTCGCTCTGTGTGCCGGAATCAATGCAATCCCCTAAAAGCTCATAAGTCGGAGGTAATTATAAGAAGCATCAATTACCTAGCAATGTGGATTTCATGAATTCAATTAATTTGCATAGTGATCGATTCAGGCGGGTCCTCTCCAGGTCTCTGGAGAAAGTTAGGACATTGTTCTGCACGTTATTGATTTAACAATGTAAAACCAAACCTCTCTCTCCTTGTATTCAGAGCTGTTCATTCAGCCATATTAACTTTCAGATCATTTATTTTTGTACGTCTTTCAACTCTGTTTGTTGCTATCACACAAATGCAGAGTATTACATTGTAGAGAATAATTGAATCAATACTATCATGGCATTTTGGGCCTCCCAGGCTCTCAGGAGCGAGAGCTGGCAAGAGCCAGCACAGAGACTGGGAGGTGGGGTTTTCTTCACCTTTCCAGTTATTAAAATGCTTGTCTGGCTCCATATTAACTTTCTGCGCTGTGAGTTTGCTATTGTTTCCTCTGCCTCGGAATGGGAGATGCAGGCAGTTGGATGAATTACATGCAGAGGTTCCCTAAGTGTCTTTATATCCTCCATTGAGATGCTATTGTGTAACATCCTACACCGGGCTCTTCAGGGGATTACAAGTCTATCCCTACGCATCCAGCCCCGGGGGACAGGGGAGCTCTATGGCAGGATCTCATTCAGCCAACCGGCTTGGGCCACCCCAGAATTGTTTGGATAAATGGGAGTCAATAGAGGGGGATGGGGCAAGCAGTTTGTTAGGAAGATGCAGGTACTGGAGGTTTGGATAGCCAAGTTCATGGTGTATTTTCCTCTTCCAAACCCTGCCCCAACATACAAGGCTGTGTAACCCCAGCGCACTGCCCCTTTCCCAGTGCAGTAATAATGCCGTACAGTACCCGTGACATGCCCCTCCCTTTCTAGCCAGGTCCCAGCCACACCCCGAACCCTGCAAACACACTTTGTGTCACCCAAGTTGTGCTGACTATCAAAGCGCTGCTGCCCTCTGTGGGTCTCTCACCCACGAAGCTCTTTGCAGATGTTAATTAAAGAAGGCAGGGAAGGCTGAGCACATGCTGACGAGTTTGACTCTGCTGGGCCAACAGCCGCATCCGTTTCGCAGGTGGAGAAAGTGAGGCCCAGGGAGGGTAAGGGACTTGCTCAAGGCCACCCAGAGTGACTCAGTGGCAAAGGCAGGAGTAGAGTCCTGACTCCCACCCCGGACAGTCCGACCCCAGTGAATCCCAGAGGACCCGCCTGCTAATGCCTGTGACTTAGTGCAGTTGTAAGACCGACAGAAGGGATGAGGGGGAGCCTGGAACAGCCTTGGAGCTAGACCAGACTGTGGGCCTGGGAAAAACAAACATGTAGCTTTCCCCTCCCGACGGCCCAGAGCTTACCTGTGCTACCTCCTGGCCTGCCCAACAACCAGACAGGGGAGGACCCAGGACTCAGCACCCCGTCTGTGCAAGGCAGAGTGGCTATTTCTTGGCCTTTTGGAGAAGACCAATTGCAGTGTTATACTCCGTGGTACGTCCTCAGCCGGAGTGGGTAGGAGCAGGGCCCTGGCCTGCCCGGGGGACAGACTCAACTCTCTACATGCTTGTCTACACAGGGAAAGTGCCATCAGCAATGGGTAACATGAACATGGCCTGTGGATAGTGAGGCTCACGGCTCTGCCAGTCCAGCAACCTTTGCTGACCAAGCCCTCAGAGGTCTCTTCAATCCCGAACTGCCGATGTCCATTTCCCACCCTCCATCCCTGGCCACACAGCAGACCCCTGGCACAGCATGGGAGGGAAAGAGTCCGGCCCTTCCTGCAGTTCATCACTGCTCAATAGCTCCCATTCCAGGGCCCCAATGGCGAGCGACACAAGGGAATAGAGCGTGGAGCTCATGTTAAGGTTTCCCACGTCCCAGCCAAGCCCACCTTTTGTGCTCAGCGCTACTGAGCTGCAAATGGCCACACACAAATGTGGGGAGGAAAAACCTTTGAATGAAAAGCCACCCAGAAACAAAGACTCCGCCTGCAGATTCCAAAGGGGGTGAAAGGAGAGGCAGTTTTTAAACTTTGTTGCCCCTCCCATCAGGATATTAGGCAGCTAAATAGCAGCGTGGCTGCTGGCTTCAGATAACCGGTTCCCAGTGAGCACCCTAATTGTCCCCGGAATCGCTCTGCCACTGTAGAGAGTAGGTCATTTACTGAGCGGTACACGCAACTAAATCAAAATCCATTTTCCAAGGGAAAATTCTATTCTTATCAGAGTTCTGCAAGAGGGCTGCAAGCGGCCCGTGTTAATTGAAGCTTTGATGTTTGTTGGAGGAGGCCTCTAATCAGCTCAACAAAGGAGCCGATACATGGTACCTTGCTCGCCCCTAGCAGCATAAGAGAGTTCAGGGCTGAGCAGGCATTGCGGGTCCTTGCTTTGCAAGCGAGCGTGTCAAAGGAAAATACAGCAGACTGGCCTTCACGAAGAGGGGCTGAAGGATGAGAGGGCTGAGACACAGTCACCAGATAGCAACAAGCACTGACCCCTCCTGCATAAGCGGACTTCTCCAGCAATGGGAGCCGTCCTCTCTTCAGTCCATCAGACGCATGGGTACTACAGAACACCTGAAACGGCTAGCTTCAGAGCTGCACAGAGCCGTACAGCGCCAATGAAAGGCAAGTGCTGCAGGGCCAGAAGGAGAAACCTGGTTAAAAAAATCAGCATCTTTCCTGGAGCCAAACAGGAGCGTCGGTCTGAAATGAGCATGTCTGCTCCAGGGGCTGGCAGAGTCCACGATGGGGCAGGGAGGAGATGGCAGGTGGGGTGGGACAAAAAGCACAAGTGGTCCCAGGCACTAGTTGTTGCAGCCCAAACCCGGCTACACAAACCACCAGTGTGTTAACTTTTGGATGCTGCATCCTCACCTTAAATACCCTGCAGTCTAGAACATGCCTGCTGTCTAGGAGCAAGAATGAAGAGACCTCTGTACATCTCAGTTCCCTCATCTGTACAACTGGGATAACGGTGCATATAGTGACCAACCTCCTGGTGGGTTGGAAAGATCAAGTAATGTTCCTACAGTGGTTTGATCATCTGACGCTAATGTAACCTCCTAAGCATTAGCATTGGTTTTCGTTACAAGCAAATAATCCATTTTAGTGCATCATAGTCCCAAACCATATACAGACATTCCAGCACTACACAGACTCGCACGCAGCACAAGATGCACAATGAGAGCATTACACACTGCATCATAGTCAGTCACAATGTTTATATGTCACAGCACACACAGACACTCACAGCACAGCACACATACGGTCATCCAGAGAATTAGATGCAACAGTGTTCACATACACCCAGCAATGCACACTAATTCAAAGGAGAAAGCGTTTTTAACCACTTTGGCATGTCTTCTGCAATATCCTCCAGCAAATCAACCATCCCCTTCTTGGGATGTTTTCAATCTGGTTTATGTTGATTTTAATTAAAGAAGTTGAAACTGAACAAACAGTTCGTAGCAGGTGGCCATACAAGTGTGAAATAAGCAAACTGTTTTATCTGCCACAACGCTGCTAGTAAATTTCTTCAAATTAATCCCAGCCTTAGAAAGTCTGCTGATTCCAACTGAAATGCTAAGCAATTTGACTCCTTTATTCTCTAAATATTTGCCGTCATAACAATGTTAAGAGCAGGTCTATGTGTATCTATTTTTTTATATCGTCGTACTAACGGGTCTGCTTTTCAACTTCCATTGGTTTGAGCCATCTCCCCACTCTTTGGCGATACAAGAAGGTTAATGACCCACAACAACAGAAAATGGATTTTGAGAATTTTTTAAAATGCCAAAATTTATGAATGATTCTAATGCTCAGACACTGAATGGTCCATAGCACTCATTCTCCCATACAGCTCTGCCAACACACTTCAAATCCAACCTGCCGCACTCCCCATCCAAAGAGACGACCCAGCTGCAAAGCTCTGACATTCCTATGAGCACCTTTGGGTTTCTACCAATGAGGATTTTCAACTCATTGATTTTCCTCAATGCTAATTCACTGCTCTCAATGATCAATATTATAAGCACAATGAGACAGAGCCAACCTATTGTGGGTCTGATTCACTTCACTAAGAGCCCATCCTCATCAGCACAAATGATGGGTAATTAGTGAGGGGCAAATCTCTGAAGGGACAAAGTTCAGTGTTGAATAAAAACCCCAAAAGTTGAGTGTTTTTATGTACACGCTGAACCGAGCCTGCAGAACTGTGCTGGTGGGAATCTTACGACAGTCTTTCCATGTGCTACTTAGGTGCTCCCCATTTTCAGTCACAGCCAGGATCCAAAGCAGATACATTAAAAGCAGAGGGGGGAAAGGACTAGCTTAACTTAGGGCTTGTCTACACATGCGGGGCATTCTGGAGTAAGGTAAGGTGTGACCTTAAAGCAGAATAGCTATTTTGGAAAAGCTCCATGTGTACTATTAATTATTATTACCCATAGGGAATGTGGCCGTGAACTCCGCCATCCCTAGAACCAACAGCCAACTGCGACCAGACATCATCATCACCAATGAGGACCAGAAGAAGATCATGATGGTGGACGTCACAGTGCCCTTCGAGAACAGGACTCCAGCCTTCTGCAACGCCCGAGCTCAAACTGTGGAGAAATACGCCCCTCTGGCTGACACCTTAAGAGCTGGGGTTACCAGGTTCAGACAGACACATGCAATGATCGTTGGCGTCCATGGAGCACATGGGACCCCAGTAACGAGCGAGTGTTGTGGGAAAGCAGAATCGGTCAACGCTATGCTCTGCTGATGCGGCAACTCATCGATCGTCATCAGGTGGTCGAGGGACATCTACCTAGAACACATCACCAGACATCAGCAATACCAGGAGAAATGAGCTGGAGTGCCAATGAGAAGCCAAGTCGGAAAGTAACCGAAATACTTCTCTGGTGGATTATATCTACTCAGGGACAACCCATCCTAAATGCTCAATTACTGAGGGACAATCTACACTCATTGCTATATTTGCTTTTTACAACCAACTCTCTGTATAACTTTTCATGAGTGATGTACCCGAGTATTCGGATTCTTATATCTAAACTGTATCATTACATTTATCTAAATTTGGGTTATTGCAGATTGTGCACGATATGTATTGTATGAGTTTTTAAACAAACTTTGTATTTGTGGATAATCTGAGCAGTATGCCCAGATGTACAGACACTCTTTTCTCAACCTATGTATTATATAATTTTAACATTAGCTTTAATAAAATATTTTAATTAATTATTATTATTATTATTATTATTATTATTTCTTAGCGGCACTGCAGTAGCATGCAGCATCCCCAGTCGTGGGCCAGGATCCCCTGGTATTAGGAGCCATTACAGAACAAAGAGATGGACCCTGCCCCACGGAGCTGACAATCTAAGTAGACAAGCCCTGATTCAAACCTCAAGAAAGGACCACTGCAGGGCTAGCCTGAACTTGGGAGATGCTCTGTGGAGGTTTGTTTTATCCAGACCAGTTCAGCTGGCACTGAACGGCAACTGAGAGCAAATATCTGGGTATTGCTTCAGAAAAGCTCTAAAAAGGCCAGGCAGCCGAGGGCCCGGACATGGGCAGTGGGATATGGAGCTTTTCCCCAGTTCCTATGCTCTGTATGGTTTGGGATGCCATTGCACCAGAAGCTGCACAGACGCATAGTAAGAGACGTTCCCTGCTCCAGAGAGCTGACAGTTTAACTAGAGAATACAGGAAAGTGAGAGGGAAGATGATGCATTATCCCCACCAGTGCAACAGGGAACTGAGCCACAGAGACATGACTCGAGCATGGATGCGCAACAGGGGACAGGCCCCCCCAAGGTCCCGTTTTGGAACCACTGCAATGCCCAGAACTCCCGCTGAACCCTGTGGGGGCCTCAACTCACTCACACCGATCGTTTTTGCAGTCGAGGTTCCCTCAGCACCTGTGTTTCTGTCGCTGAGCCTGGAGGCCCTAAGCCAGAGTGATGCAGGACCTGGGGGGAAGAGAGGCATACCCTCCCCCTAAGTCGTGCGGGGGCCCCAATCCTGTAGGTTTGCTCAGAGGGTGCCCACTGAACAGTCACACAGAGGAGGAAGACTTCCTTCAGAACTATTTGCCCACCACCACCACCACCCGAGGGGGAGATGGAGGTGATCAGGGATCTGCCAACTCTCAGGTGAGTGCTCGGACCGCTGGACTAGGGGATATTCTGTGGTGCCCTCAATCTCTCCTGTCGAAGCAGCTCCACACACGATTTAGGGGAAGAGTCATGAGAGCAGGGGGACTGGCCCCTGGGTCTCCTATTGCCCAGGTGAGTGCTCTAACCACCAGGCTACAGAGCCACTCTCTCTCTCACTCGCTCTGACTCAAATGACTCAAAGGGAGAGAGAGGGAGAACAAAGCCTTCTAAAGCATATAAAAAAAACAAAACAAATAAAGTGAAAGCGCCAGGCAACCAATCCCCTGGAGCTTCCATGGAGCTCATCCAGATTCTTCAGCTGAGATTTGCATTTAAGGTGCCACCTGCTGAGACGTGGGTAGCTTGCAAGAGGAAAACCTAGCTGAGCTTCCCCTTGGCTTGGCCACAGACAAGCGGCTGCACCTTAACAATGTGGCTTTTCTTTGCAAAATGGAACTTTTGTGGTAACCTTGAAGACACAAAGACATTAAAGACCCTTTATCGAGGCAACAGGCACCGCATATTGATAAGCCCCTGGGGAAGGGGAATATAAAGCACAGATGCCCACAAGCTTTTCTTCTTGCAAGGCTGTGCTGGAGATAGCTGCCAGAAAAAAAAATACCTCGCATGTTCCTCTTCATTTCTCATGCCTTTCTCTTTCAAAAATCTTATCAGCATCTTTAAAAGATCAAGTTTTCCTATCCAGAAATATTATTTTACTGATAGAATCTGAAGGCAGAGCTGGCAAAATGAAGCCTCTAGAGTAGTGAATAGCCTCTGATTTCCAGGGTACAGAAAACAGGGACAACCTTCCCCATCCCAAACTCCATCCCACCAATGCCCTTCGTCTGACCAACCAACAGAACAATGGAATCGTGTTTGTCTTGGAGATGGACTGATTTCCCACAATGTTCTGTAATGTTAGCTTAGCAAAGAATGGCTGGTTGTTGTTATCCAGTGCTTTGAGCACAGATGCCTGCATTATACCTCACATACACACAGAAATGCATACGCACATTCCTACCAGCTGTATTTGCAATGTGTGCACACAGATGTACACAGAGATATGTGCACAGAAACACCACACCTGTGCAGACACAAAAGCAAGAAAGGAAAGAACCCATGCCCATGGCGGAAGAATGAACTGATCATAGCACCGAGAATTGCCATCTGAGGTCAGAGAGAGAGGACTGGCTGAAAAACGAGACTTCCATGTAATGAAAAAACTTCAAGATTTTGAAATTTGTTGTTGTTCTGTATCAACATGAAAAATGGAACCTTTGAAAACATCTTTTTTTTTCTTTGGCAAAAAACGAAAGGGAAACCAGCCCCAAAATTGCCAATAATCACCAGTCTGTTCTGGGTGTAGGTGGGGGTCTCTCTCTTTGCTCAGCATGTTCCATAGAGAGAAATTCCCAATGAAAGTTTCACCAAAACCAATGCATTTCCAGACAGTTTGTTTTGGCAAATTGGTATTTCCTCACAAAAAACTTGTTTCATCACAAAATTCCCACCTGGCTCTAACGAGCGGCTCGTTGAGCTAGGCCGTGTGAACACACCATAATAGATAGTCCTGGATCCAACACTCTCACCAGAGGAAGTAGCGGGGAGAGAAGGTTTATCTTTTTTACAGATGGGGAACTGAGGCACAGAGACTAAGTGACTTGCCCAAGTTCACACAGGAAGTCAGTGGCACAGCCAGGAACTGAATCCAGGGCTCGTGAGTCCCAGCCCAGAGTCTTATCGACAAGGCCATTGATGGAGATACATACAGGCACGTTCCACACCAGCACAATTCTTGCCCATCAGGGCTTGTTCTAGGGACCCATCAGAACTTGCAGGCCTAAGACTGAATGAGCAGCAGTGCAGTATTTTCCAGGTCTGGCAGAGTTAGGAAAAGAGCCCTTCTGCTACTGGTATTTCTGCCTCCTCCATTAGTTCCTCCACTCCGTATTTGATGGAAATATGCTAATATCTGCAAGCCTCACCAGCTGGCTGGCAAACCCAACAAAAGAAAACAAACATTTGCCAAGATCGTGTCTCTCTCCCCCATGCTTCAATCTCAGTTTTGTTTTTGTTAATTATTCCATTTATCCAAGAGAAGGTCCCATCCTAGGCTTCCTTTGCCCAGTTGATCTTTGCTGGGATGGGTCCCAAGGGAGCAGTTCGGGATGGTAGCTGGTCTAACTGGGGCACTCAAAGGTATTTCACCTTTTGCTCTCCATGTGGGCTGCTGTTTCTCCCTATGATCACTGGTCCCATGGCTGCTGCATGTTGGGGCAGCTGGGGAAGACTGCACAAAGCAGGCACTAAGCCGCACTAGTGAGCAGTGCGGGAAGCAGGTCATGTGATTAAAACACCAGAGTGGGACTCAGGAAACCTTAGCTCATTTCCAAGCTCTGCCACCGACTCACTGTGTGACCTTGGACACATCATTTAATCTCGGTCTCCATTCCCCTCTCTGTAAAATGGGACTAATAAAGGTTAGAGGCCACATGAGGAGGGACGTGGGGACAGAAGAGAAGAGGAGCATTTCCCCCTGAAATGATTACAGACTCATTCTCCTTCCCCTCACGCTCTTTACACATCCATAGACTTGAGTATGCTTCCAAAGCTGGTGGGTTTTCTTGTCCTTGCTTACATCACGCACTAGGCTGTGATCAAACACACGGAGCAGCTGTGAAATCCAGCATCTGGACTCAGAATTGACTCTGTTCCCAGGCACGCTTGCCAATGGAGATTCACAAAGGGCTGTTTCCGACGGGTCCTGTACGACGGAGGATCTGGACAAATGCTGAGCATGCCAGATGGTTGGCAGGGATTGGAATGTGCCCACATGTGTTGCATGTCTGTGCCAGGGCAGATGCTTTTGTTCACACCACACTTTGAATTGGGGAGCGACATTTTAAGTAGGAATAGAAAGGGGGTGGAGGGAGACCCATCCCTTATGGAAGTTGCTAGCTCCTTTCTAAGCTAGTTCTTTTTGTCTGTCTTCTTGCAGATTTGCCCAAAAGCATTTCCTATGCACCAGGGAAAATCTACACGTGAAAGAGAACAAGCCACTGGAAGGGGTCAAATATTAAAGATTTGGGAGTCAATTCTTTGCCTGATGGGCCCCTTTCTCCAGCTTTGGTGATATAAAGACAGAGGCTCTCCAGCACTGGAGAACGCCCCGAGTGCAGGGGTTTTCCCAGGTGGCCTAGCGCTGGCTGTGCCAGACCAACCCCACCCCAATTCACGCACGTGCCGGGGTGCGTCATGGGCAGGGGGCGTAGTAAGGGCACTACAGAACTCTGGCTATTCTTGACTGAGACAATGGCCCCTAGGGGTTTGTCGCAGCTGAGCTTAAGTTAGAGCAATCCTGCCTACGCCTGGGGCTGGGCAGGCCCCCAGACAGCCCCACAATAACGGGAGATGTCGAGCCCCCTGTGCTATCCCACAAAAACCAGCACCATGCAACTGGCCCCCAGAGCCAATCAGCTCAGGAGTGAATAGCCGGGAAGAATTAACTCGCTCCCATTGGTCCCTCCAGCTCAGAGGTGGGGCACAC